GAGCAAGGTGTTACTAAACATGACTACCGTCAGGAACCAACAGAGCAAGGTGTTACTAAACGTGATTACTGTCAGGAAGTGTTTGTCCCAGCTCCAGAGGCGATGTTTCCAATGGCGCTCGCCATGTGGTCAGTGTGTCAATGAGTGGCTATCAGGGAGTCTCTTCTGTGCTCACTGTCCACTATGGAATACTTGAAGATAGATATTTTAGGCATAAGTGAGCTGAAATGGACTGGTATTGGTCATTTTCAATCAGACAGTCATACAGTCTACCATGCTGGCAATGACAAACTGAGGAGGAACAGTGTTGTATTCATTGTCAGAAAGAACATTTCATGATCTAGCCTGAAGTACAACACCGTCAGTGATACAATAATATTCATATGCCTACAAGGAAGACCAGTTAACACGACTATTATTGAAATTTACACAACCACTAACGCCAAAGATGAAGAAATTAAAGGGTTTTTTTACCAACATCTGCAGTCTGAAATTGATCAAATGTGCAATCAAGATACATTGATAATTACTGGTGACTGGAATGTGAAAAACAAGGATCCAGTAATTGATGGAGTACCAGTTGAGAAGTTTCAACAAAAGGATGAAACCCTGGAAGCACTTACTCGTCTGTGCCAAGAAATCTGGAAGACAGCTATCTGGCCAACCGACTGGAAGAGACCCATATTTGTGCCCATCCCAAAGAAAGGTGATCCAGTAGAATGCGGAAATGATCAAACAATATCATTCATATCACACGCAAGTAAAATTTTGCGGAACATAGTGCAAAAATGGTTGCAGCAGTGTATCAAGAGGGAACTGCCAGAAATTCAAGCCTGATTCAGAGGAGGACAGGGAATGAGAAACATCATTACTGAAGTCTTGACAGACCTTGGCTGAAAGCAGAGAATACCAGAAAGATGTTTACCAGTGTTTTATCGACTATGCAAAGGCATTTGACTGTGTGGATCATGACAAATTATGGATAACGTTGTAAAGAATGGGAATTCCTGAACACTTAATTGTGCTCATGAGGTACCTGTACTTAGACCAAGAGGCAGTCGTTCAAACAGAACAAGTGGATACTGAGTGGTTTAAAATCAGGAAAGGTGTGTGTGAGGGCTGTATCCTTTCACCATACTTATTCAATCTGTATGTTGAGCAAAATCTGAGAGGCTGGACTATATGAAGAAGAATGGGGCATCAGGATTGGAGGGAGACTCAGCAACACCCTGCTCTATGTAGATAACACAACCTTACTTGATGAAAGCAAAGTCGACTTGAAGTATTTATTTAGTGTAGATCAAACACTACAGCCTTCAGTATGGATTACAGCTCAACATAAAGGAAACCAAAATCCT